CGTAGATACAATATAATTCAAACAACTTTTGTACGGATAGTAATGCGAATGAAAGACAAACGATGACCAAAACAGGCCTAAACTATGTTTTATGGAATAAATAAGAAAGTAAGACCAGCATTAGCATGGAGAGAAGGAATAATAAGAGATAGAGTCAAAGATGAGGATAAATGGACCGACCAAAAGAGGTGGAGATCGGAATGTGGGATACGACAGGGGCTAGGGTATCCCTGTAGATATAAGGAAAAATTCAAAGAAGGAAAATAATATCTTAAAGATAACATTAAAATATACTTAGAACAAATTGTTAAAAACAAAACGCATCACACTTGGTGTTTATAAATTCGAGAAACTAATAGGAAAACTCAAAATTTACCAAGGAAAAACAATTGTAAATATCGAACAAATTAAATTAATATAAAAAAATCACAAAAAAAATGTTTGTAGAGCAATAAATAATGAACACAATCACAGATCGGAACATCCTTTTGGAGTATGTAAAAGCAACACTAACATTCCTTAAATATGAAAAAAATTAATGATCTAAGTTCAGTCAGAGAACATCAAATTCTGCGTTGAGACTTTAGGAAAAAACAATCATTTTTAATAAAATATTTAACGTTTCTTTGGGAATTTTGAATGAAAATACACGTAGAATGGTCAAGGAGTTTGCCTTGGTATGCCAATTCATTTATTATTAAGGTATTTGCGAACATAAACTGATGGAACTCCTGTAAGATATTGTAATTTAGACAAGGACCTGAGGATAACCAGAAATTCATGCTATTTTTGCCGATATTGTTTGGCTTTCGTAACGGCTTGGGAATAGTGGAAGCTCTGTATAGTTTCACAAATCTTGCCCAAATATGTCGAGACCAACAAAAAGATCTTTTCGTTGTATTTATAGACTAAGAAACAGCTTTTGACATAAGTTAAACATAACATTCTCATGTAATGTCTAAAGAGAAAAGGACTCGACAAAAATGACATTAACACAGTGAGAAATCTCTATTGGGATCAACAGGCTGTGGTAACATTAGAAGGAAATAGCACGGATGCGCAACAAGTAAGTAGAGGAGTAAGACAGAGCTGTTTACTCTGACCATTACTATTAATGTACAGAAGGGATTAAGAAATATGGTGCTATATGGTGAAATATGGTAATATTATCGCTAAAAGTGAGACAGACCTGCAGACATTACTAAAAATAATTTGTAATACTGGGGAACAGTTTGTTTTAACAATAAACATAAAGAAAACAAAAATCACGGTTTTCAGTAAGAGGGGCTAAGTGATTACAAGGATCTAGATAAAAAATATTGAGCAAGTGGGCAAAATAAAATACTTAGGAGTCTGGATAACGGAAGATTTGAATCCGAAATTAGAAATTCGCTCAGTAATAGAGCAATCAAGAGCAGTATTTTTAAAAATGAGGAATTTTCTGAGTAACCAAAGACTCAATCTGCAAATCCGATGTCGGATGGTAAAATATTATAGCCACTTTTTTCTTCTTTATGGTGTCGAAGCCTGGACAGTTAATGTTGACTTAATGAGAAAACTGGTAGCTTTTGAGATGTGGCTTTTTAGGAGAATTTTGAAGATACCATGGACCGATCATATTACGAACGAAATGGTGTTGCACAGAACAGACAGCATATTTGGGGCACATACTTAGAAATGATAAGTACGAGTTATTGCAGCTGATTATAAAAAAAAAACCTAATTAATGGAGACGGCATTAGAAAGAAGAAGATTGCTTACAATTTGCAACTTTTAATAAACAAAGTATATAAAATTAATAAGAAATATGACCTAGAAATTAACACTCTAATAACTGGGTGCATTATTAAATGAATAGTGGATAATTTCTATAAATTGCAATGAATAATTGAACAAGCCAGAGCAGCTTTTATCCAAATGTCCAAATTATTTAAAACATACAATATAAATTCGAAATTGAAATTCATGGTACTACGATGCTACATATTATACATCTCGTTATATGAAGTAGAGTCTTTGACTTTGACTGAGGCACCAATAAAGAATTTAGAAGCATTAGATATGTGAACTTATAGTAGACTTGTTAAAATTTCATGGCTAGATAAATATCAAACATAAGATTACTCCAAAAACTTTATAAAGAATGAAAAATAACATACACATAAAACCTAGGTTATTGAAATATTTGGGTCACACAATGACAAATGAAACCAAACAAATGATTCAGTCTCCAAGAAAAAGTGCAGGATAAGTGAACTGTCTAAAGAACACTATTATTCTGAACTATTCAAATAAAAGGCAGATATCGAACATAGTTTTTTATTAAATTTTGTCCAAGCATTTTCGCTCCTAGATCATCTTCATGAGTATTTCGTCAGAATTATAGGCTATCCAACAATTTGGTGAATGTTATAAACATTAAATAATACATTTACACAACAGTAAATTATGGACAAACAGTTTATTTTTTTTTTAATTTGAAGAAGCTACATAGTGGGTCACAGCAAGAGAGAGAATGAAAATGACCCACTACGTAGCTTTTTCAAATCTAAAAAAACAACTGTTTGTCCTTTGTCTAGTGTGTAAATGTATTATTTAATGCTTATGACATTCACCAAATTGTTGGTTAGACTATAAATCTGAAGAAATGCTCCTGAAGATGCTCTAGGAACGAAAGTACTTGTGCAGGATTTAATACAAAAAGGTGCTCGATATCTATCTTTTATTTGATTAAAGTTTATTATTTATAATAAGAAGGCGAAATAATCAAACTAATGTAAAAGATTGTTAGGTCAAAAATGTTGGTTCCCAATATGAAAAGAAATATAAAATCTCATAAGGGTAAGTGCACAAGAAAAGAATATGGAAACAATAAGTCAAAAAGATTAGGAAAGCATACCCGACAGTAAATAATAAAGCTTACTAACAATGTAAAGAACAAGACAAGAAGAAGAACAAAAACAACAGACAACAACAAAAAAAGAAAGTTTAATATCCCAGGAAACAAAGATTCTTATGAACACAAGAAGAACATTACTAGAACAAGAGGACAAAAATAAAATGGAATACAAAGAAATAAACAAAACTATTTGAAAAAATATCAAGGAGTGTAATCGGAGAGTACAGAGAGAAAAGATAGAGAAAACAATTGAAAAAAATAGAAACATGAGTGCTTAAAGCAGAACCTGGGAAACGTACAAATTAATAGCATGAAGAACAAAGAAGGAGTGGAGACCAACAATATAAAATAAATTTGACAGATACGCACGAATATTATACATATCTCTATAAAACAGAACAAAAACCAACCTAAGAAATCCGTAATCAGTTCCAACTGAAAATAAAGAACGTTAACTCTGGCCTACAACCAGAAATAAGTAAGAATGAAATAAAAAAGGCACTCAAAGAAATGAAGAATAACAAATCTCCTGAGAAAGATGAAATAACTGTAGAAATGCTAAAAAATGGGGGAAAACTACAGTGAAAGTCCTTTATGTACTAATTCGATAGAAAAGATCTGAAAAACTATAGGCTCATAACGCTAAACAGATTAACAACTAAGTTAGATAATTAATTACCAGTCAAAAGAGCAACCCGGTTTTTGAAAAGGATTCAGTACAAGCGACCATCTGCTTACGATAAAAATATTAATTGAAAAGGCCAACGAATATCAAATCCCAATGTATATGGCATTTGTAGACTTTGAAAAAGCATTCGATAAGATGGAATATTAAGCAGTAAAGAACTCTCTACAAATTGGGAGAATAGACTATAGATATACGGACTTAATTTTCAATATATATGATCAAGCAACAACATACATTAAAATAGTTAAACAAACCTCACCTATTAAGATACGGCGAGGAGTCAGACAGGGTGACACTATATCACCCAAACTATTCAATCAAGCTTTGGAAGACGTCATGAGGAAATTACAATGAACAAAACGGGGTATTAACATAAATGGCCAATACTTGAATTACTTGAGATATACAGACGACATTGTATTAATAACAGATAAAAGGGAAGAACTACAAAATATGATGGAAGAATTAAATAGCGAATAAAAAAAAAATAGGTGTACAAATGAATTATAATAAAGCGAAAATTATGACCAACCAACCAGAAGAATTAATAATAACAATTGCACAAACAACTATAGAACAAGTTAAAGAATATTTATATTTGGGACAACTAGTTAAATTAAATAAAGAAAATCAGACCGGAGAAATAAAGAGAAGGATTCGGTTGGCTTGGGTATCCTTCGAAAAACTTTCCTAAATACTAAAAAATAGCAAATACCCCAAATATTTAAAAACAAGAGTTTTTAACCAATGTGTACTTCCTGTACTCACCTGCGGTTTTCAAACTTTACACGTTTACAAAGAAAAACATGGAAAAATAGCAAAGACCCAAAGAGCCATGGAAAGGTAAATGCTGAACATCAGGCTGCCAGACAAGAAAAAAATACTTGGATCCGCAACAAAACAAAAGTGACCGATGTATCAAGGTAGATAGCACTACTTAAGTGGAAGTTTGCTGGACATACCATAAGACAGAAAGACGACAGATGGAATAAGATGATTATACACGGGAGACCATATAGTTACAAACGAAAAAGAGGAAGGCCACAAATTATATGGTCAGATGATTTGAAGAAACATGCAGGCCCGAAGTGGATACAAACTGCCTACACTAGAGAGACGTGGAAGAAGAAAGGGGAGGCCTATGTCCAAAATTGGACAGCAAGGGCTGTATAGATAGATAGATAGATAGAACAACGTAAAATTAATACATGAATATAAGTCTTAAGAAAAATGATGTTTTCGCAAAAGTAGTTTTGTGTAATGTACATAGAACCAAAAGCTGTAAGTGTTATGTATCATAAAAATAATAGATAAATTATAAATAGAAAAAACCAAGACAAATAAAGACAGCAAAACAATTTCAATAATTTGAAAGAAGTTTAAATAATAAAAATTGGAAGTTTAAATTCTTACCTTTGAAGTAGAGATAAATGAGCCTGTTGCCAGAGTGTAGACTACCCCACAACTACAGCTGAAGGGAAAATATTCTGTATTTATAGACAAAAATGCATTTAACGTGGTTACCTAATCAGAGATATATTATCATATTGGTTTTAAAAAAACCGATGCAGTTAGGTGCATTGTTATTGTTTACTGGATGCCCTAGACAAAACAATAGACTCTACCGCTTTTTGTTTTCCTGTTTGTTGAAAAATTTACGAAATACTAATATAATTATTTAAACGATTATAAAAATTTAATATTTAAATTTGATCATAAGATTGAATGTGTTCCTTACTGTTTAACAAAAAACTTTGCCCACTTCTTTCAATTATTTTTACACTGAAATCTTTCTTAGTAAAGTTTTTCAAATATTTTTTATAAAAAAAGAGTTTCATTTTATTTTATTTCAGTCACATAACCTACTAATAAATATTAGCAACATGTTGATATATATTGTATTAAGTGGTTCTTTAAGGCACAATTGCTTAATTAATTTACATTTGATGAAAGAGGTGAGATTCTTAAAATAAATTTAGAATATTGCTTATGATACAGATTTCGTCTAATAATGTTTTAGATCGTCTTAAAGACTATTGTTGGATTTTTCTTGGATAAATTTTGCACAACTTAAAGAGATTTTGTACAATTATTATAAGCATATTTCTTCCGTCGAGAAAATATGCGTGTGTTATTCCTGTATGGCCCAAACATAATCAACCAATAATCCTAACCTAGTTATCAATTGAGTTTTCATTTCCCCGCTTTTTTATATATGTTTTAATTTCTTTTAATTTCGATTGAAAGTTATCCCATTAGTCTTAGTCACAAACATTTCTTCTTCTTCTTGATGTGCCTATCAATTACGAATGTTGGCGATCATCATGGCAATCTTTATCTTATCTGCAGCAGCACGACAAAGCTGCACATATGTTGTATTGAACCAGATTCTGAGGTTCTTTAACCAAGATGTTCTTCTTCTTCCTGGACCTCGTTTTCCAAAATCAGGATGGCTTAAAAGAGAGTATATCTGGATTCATTTCGCATAATATGTCCGAAGAACTGTAACTTTCGAGATGTGATGGTAGTCAGTATAAATTTATTTCAAATCCCTTATAAAGGAGATTAGAACAAAGTTGGGATTATAATTAAATTAAAATATTAAATTAAAAGTAGATGTAATTCAATAACTAAATCGAATGAACAGCAAAAGAAATAAACCAGAACACGATGAATCATCCGACGAGGTGGAAGCTTTCAAAAGAAGCAAAGCCACGTTAAGAATACCTCCAAAGGATAACATAAAAAATCGCGAAATGGAAGAACTAAAAAAACTACTAGTAGAAATAAATAAGGAGATTCAAACGGAAATAAAAGAGCTGAAAACAGAAATGAAGGAAGAAAATAAGGAGATCAAAAGATATATAAATGAAGTTAAAGAAGAGATAAAACAAAATAACGAAGAAATAAGAAGCATAAAACTTCAAACAGAAAGGGTGAAGGAAGAATGGACAAAAGAGAAAGAAGAACTGAAAAGAGAAAACGAACTAACCAAAACCGATAACAAAAGATAACGGAAGAATTAAATGATCTGAAATGCTCATTGAAAAAATTAGACAAAGAAAAAAGAATATAATCATTAGTGGATCAAAAATAGACTCTGATGACCCAAAAACATTGAAAGAGGGAATGACTACTATATTATAAAATCATCTTGGAGTCAAAACTAATATTAAAAGAGCACAAAAAATAGACACAAAAACATGCTTAATTGAACTTGAAAGCGAAGAAGAAAAAACAACAATCCTAAGAAACAAATACAAACTTAAGAATATGAAGATCTAAAAAACATGGATTACAGAGGATCTTACAAAAGGAGAGAGAGAGAGAAAATGAAAGCTTTAAGAGATAAGGCAAGAGAAATGAGGGAAAATGGAAAAATGGTCAAAATGGGATACAGTAAAATCACAGTGGACGGCAAGGAATGGAGATGGTGCTATAAAGAAGAAAATGTGGTGGAAATAGCGTGTTACAAATAGTATGTGACAATGAAGACAATATAAACAATGAAAGTGAAGAAAACACAGAGCTAGAGCAAATAAGTAGAGAAGAAGTAATAGAAGGATTATCAAATATAAAAATAGGCAAGGCAGGTGGAGACGATACAATTGAACCGAAAATGGTAAAATACATGGGAGAAGAAGGAATACACTGGCTATGGAAAATATATAAAGAGGCATGGGAAAAACAAACAATCCCTTAATACTGGCAGAATAATATCATCGTGCCAATATACAAAAAAGGAGAACATGTAAACTGCGAGAACTATAGAGCAATATGTCTGTCATCGGTATGCTTTAAAATATATACGAAAATAATAGAGAAGAGACAGACAAGAAGTAGAAATGGTATTGGGAGAAGAACAAATGGCATTTAGACCGGGAAGACAGACAAGTGACAACATATATATCATTAGAACACTAATAGAAAGAAGCATAGATACGGGGAAAACTAGTATTAGCATTCATAGACCTAAGAGCAGCATTTGACACGATAGAAAGACATATTATAGGAAAATGCTTGAGAAAAATAAATGTACCTAATACATTGATAAAAATTATAGAAAGTACTTACAAATAGGTAAAAGGAAGGGTGCAAATAACAGGGGAAAGATCGAAAGCATTTAATTGGAAGAGAGGTATTAAACAAGAAGATAGTCTCAGCCCGTTGCTATTCATAATAGTAATGAACAAATTGATAAGAAACACTAGAGTCAGAACCAATCAACTATAGACAATAATAGGTTACCACAGATTACAATTGGTAACAATAGAGTCCTTAATGTATGGAGACGACATAGTACTAATAGCAGATTCCGAGAATAAGATGCAGAAACTAATGGATATATGGGTAGAACAAATAGAAGAACTAAAAATGGAGATAAACGAGAAAAAAAGTAAGATAATGATAATCAGTGGCAAAGAAGATCAGGAAAATATCAAATAAAGATAAAATGTAAAAACTCAGAATTGGAAATAGTAACAACTTACGAATACCTGGGAAGTATAATAACTAATGACGGAAAATAGACTGGGAAATAACAAATAGAGCAAAGAAATCAAACAAGTTATATTATGTGTTAGCCCCAATAATGGGAAAAAGAGAACTTACACGAGAGACAAGAATACAAATATATAACACAATAGTGATACCGACTTTGCTCTATGCAAGTGAAAACTGGACAATTCTAGAAAAACATAAGAGCAGGATAAACGCAATGGAGATGAGACATCTAAGAAGGATAGTTGGAAAAAACAAAATGGGATAGATTAAGCAACGAGACTCTTAGGAGAATGGCCAACCAGGTACCGATAATGAACAAAATAGCAAAGAGACAAATGAACTGGTATGGGCATCTGATGAGGATGCAATCCAATAGAATAACAAGAAAAGTTTATGAAGCAAAAAACATCGGAAAAAAAAGGGGCAGACCAAGAAAAAAATGAATGCAGCAAGTAGTAGAAGCGGGAAAACTTAAACAAAAATCACTCGAGGAATTGAAAATAATGGCAGGAAACAGAAAAGAATGGAAGAGGTGGGTTAATGGAAATTAAAATAGCTTGCCCAAATCCAACACCCTAATAGGGTAAAAGGAAGGGGAGAAAGAAAGAAAGAAAGAAAGAGAGGTTGTGACACTTGAAGAAGGCCCCCATCCGATTGAAGGTGTATCTAGCTTTACCGATGCGTGCTCTAATCTCCTGGTTGTTGGTCAATTCTTCATTTATTATATTGCCGAGGTAGTTGTAGTGCGTCACTCTTTCTACAGGGGATCGGTTGACACATCCACTTAGGCGAGGAAGTAGAAGCACTAAAAAGCACTAAACTTAGCAATTTCCGCAGCAAGATGAATTGCAGTGCATATTTTTGCATTTGATCCAGGAAAGTGTTAGGAAAATTTTTGAAAAAAATTTATGGTGGTAAAATATAAATTGCATTTTGTGCAGGAGGAAAATGGATTTCCAAACTAAATAAAAAATAAAAAATTTGCAATTTAGAAAATATCAACAAGAATGAGTTCAGTTCTGTTACTTGGGGGTTTTACAGGAGGCTGAACACGAATATGATAACGACAATGGTCCTCGAGCTACCTAGTGCCGAGTGTGGACCTCGTCTCTTGGAGTTTTATACTGGTTTAATTCGAAATTGGTCAAAAGTCATTACGGGGTTTTTGTAGTCGTTGGACACAAATGTTACAATGCCGATAGTTTCCAAGATATTTGATGCCCAGGGTGGCCTTGCCTCCTGGAGTTTCATAATAATAAAAATCTTAAATAACAAATTTACAAAAAACTTAAAAGGACGAGGTCTACGCTGGCCACCAGATACCTTGGAGATCATTGACGTCCTAATACACGCTTTAAGCAACCCCAAAAATCCTCCAGTAATTAATTTTGATTTATTTTAAATAAAAATAGCATAAAACTTTAGGAGACGCGGTCCACACCGGACTACAGGGAGCTTGAGGATGATCGCTGTCATATATTGCTCAAAAACCCACGAGTAATGTGTAATGTCTTTATTAATTATAATTTATTGTTCTTATTTTAATTTACTAAAGGTTCAATATTTATAACATTTACAAACTTAATTTATTTAAATTATATTTATAATAATTTATCTTACAATAATAATTTATTATTACGATCGTTGCATTTAAATACAAGTCGCGAATTTCTTTTCCCACTGCCTGTTTTCTCCAAAAAGGTCCCGTTAAATACCCAATACCGTTAGACTAGAAAAGCCGATCGCCTTTTCGTCTGGTATAGAATATAAACATGTTTTTTCCTAGGGTCGGGCCGCTGGCTGCGTTCTTGTTACCTAAAGTTTTTATTTAGAATGAACAGAATATTAGTAATAAATATGTTTACGATTTTGGGTTAAAATTTATCGTAACAAATGCATTTTAACTAATTTAGAATGAAAGTAACGTAAAACTTAAGAAGAAGAGATTAAACCTGGGTACTAAGTAGCTCGAGGATAATCGCCGTCACAATATTCATATTCATCTTCCTCAAAAACCCCTCATGTAATCAGTTGGTTAGTACTTCTCAGGGCAAGAAGTTGGTTGTTACCTCTTAAGGTATAAGGATTCCTTTTTCGATTTGGCAAAGTGCACGTTACCTTAAAAAGTGTAAACTTTTATTATCGATCTAGTGTCTTAATAATTAAAATGTTCGTAGTCCAAATTATGTAATTTAAGGGTCATCTGACTTAATTATGTGGCTAGTTCCAATTATTTATACGCGTTTTTCACTGATAATGATCTGATAGAATCCAAAACGTTCTGACAATTTATAAATCAATTTTGAATCATTTTCAAAATTTGTAATAATACAATTTGAAGTGCCCTAGAAGTCGGCACTAGCCCAGTTATTGGCACTTCAAATATTTTTGCTGTTTTATAAGAAAATGAAGAATCTATAAATACTAATCAGTATGCTATTTGATAGATGGCACCTTCTTGTTTGTGGGTAATGTAGGTATTGGTTTTGTATTTGCATATGGCTGCAGATATTGGCTTGCGATTGTTGACATTGCCACTTAGAATACTGTTTTATTGAAATTTTGCGTTTATTTTTGCGTATTTTTTAAACGACTATTAAAAATAAACGAGTGTCGATTACTAGGTATTGGGGAATTGCCGCGAGCAATTATTGGTGAGATGTAGTTATCGGCATCAGCAATTTTAATTTACTTTTCCATTAATAATTATTAAACTTTTGAGATGATAACATATAGATATGAAAAAATAATTATTTCTTTTACAAAGTGAACATTCCACTGTTTTTTTTAATTGTTTACAATGCCAAAAGTCAAAAGAGATGCTAAATATTAGAAAAGATATACCGAGAAAGTCCTCCAGAGTGCTTTAACAGACATTGAAAATTACAGACATAACAGACATGAAAGAAATTGGCAGCAAGAAAATATGGAATTTTCAGGCAAATCCTTCAACATAGACTTAGTGACAAATTCAAAGAAATTTGGCCACGGGCCCACAGGCTACTTAACAAAACATAAGGAAAGTCTGTTGGAGGAGTGGATTACTGACTGACAGAAAACAGGGGTTTCCCCAGAGGAAGGGACGATATTCAAACTTCAGTGAAAAATTTCGTGGACGCCGATCCACGTAAGATTTTATTTAAGGACAACCAACTTGGAAGACACTGGTATGAAGCCTTATTTAAGCGTCATCCAAACTTGACCCTGAGAGTTCCAGGGTCAAGAAACTGGTTTTCCAACATCAAAAATTATTTAAAGGAGAAAAATTATTCCATATTGCAATTTCCAAAGAGAGTGTTCAACGGGGACAATCCTTGTTTTCTCTTTTGCCCTAAGAAAGATAAATTTGTTGCTCCTCGCGGCGCTAAAAATGTTTACCAGATGGATCAAGGAACAGCAAAGGCCAATATTACTGTGATGTTGATCTTCTCAGCTGCTGACTCAGTAACTCCTCCGATGACATTTACATGGTAAAAGTGGTTCTGATGCTTGATACATGCCTGGAAACGTTCAGTTCTGGAATTGCGAAGCAATAATCCCTTCATTGGATTAATCAAAACTTTGCAATTTTGCAACAATATTAGAAGATTTCTTAAGGTCACTAAAGAGTTCTTCAATTTGTACCGGTTTTAAAGATTGCGGATTGTATCCCTGGAATGTCGAATCCATTGACTTTTTAAAATGTATTGGAAAGAAAACAACAGGACTAGATATAGCTGTTGGAAATGGGAATTAAAAGGATAGTTGCCAAATGATATATGATTTTTTTTTTCATTGTTGGATAAGAAAAATTAAACCAACTTAGACACTAGAGGGAAAATTGGGGAAAAGGTGATGAAAGTGAAGATTTTCAGTTGCTTGTAAAAATATTTTTAAGATTTACAAAAGTGGAAGCTGCCAAATCATGCAGTTCTAGTGCAGATAATTCTTTTATTTATTTATTTATTATTTATTTATTTTTTATTTATTTATTTTATTATTTATTTATTTATTTATTTTTTATTGATTTATTTTTTATTTATTTTATTAGTTTATTTTTTATTTATATTTTATTTATTTATTTTTTATTTATTTATTTATTATTTATTTATTTATTAATTCTTTTATTCATTGGACATGTCCGTACCATTTGGGCTGCTTTCGTTGTATGCTATCCATGACTGTACCTTCTATTCTCATACTTTACTGCATCCAGTTCGACGAGATATCTTTCTTCGGCGTCTCTATTAATCGTCTCGTTTTACAACTGTGTAAATAAAAACATGCTTTTTACCACAGTTTCATGGGTTGTAGTGCTAGAGAGAGCATGTCAGCTGAGCCAAAACGAAAAATAATTCTCGTTATAGCTTTCACTGGAATATGCTTAACCGTTCAACTGGGCCCGGACTATTTCCTTCTAATTCTGTTTTGAAATTAATAATACTCATTATTTTGTCTAATTACCTATTTAAATGTCTAAACAGATACATTGTTACCTAAAGGAATGAGAGTGGTTTAATTTAGAAATTATATAGTAAATAATAAATATTTGAAAACTGATGCACACATTCCTCCCTCGATCTGTGACCTCAAAATATCTTGTTATACATTATTTTAATAAAATTTTAAAAAACTTCGATTTGATTGTTATGATATATAGGACAATTATTTGTTACCTGTAGGTACGCTTGCCAAGTTGTGAATTATTCAATAAATAATATTACTCTGGTATGCTCGTATTATTCTATTTACCCCAAAACCGCACTAAATAGAAGAGCGGGTCTTCTATTTATTGTATAGACCCAAGACTTATCACCACGGGGGGTTGTAAGTAGGTAAGTATAAAGCTAACCTCTAGTACAAGATGACGTTTAGAATATTCTTCGTGAATGGATTTTGTTATCGTAAAGCAAGATATTTTTAAAATAGATATGCCTCTGAATTTTACCGTTAGAATTTTCGAGGATGCGCCTTAATAGAAAACATTGTTACCCTTAGATCAGATTATCATAACTAAATTAGAAATGTAAACAAGTGATGAATAAATTGTAAAATAGGTTTTTCCAAATCAAACTCGATGTACATGAAGTACCTAGTTTAATGACCACAAGTATCTACTTATATAATTAGTTTTACGGCTATAATAAATTATGTACATATTTGAATATCCTGAGCTCAATTTAAATCTTTTAATCGCCTTTACCTGACTGTCCGTTGGTGGCAGGTAAAATTACAATAATTTCTTAGAAAAACTAAAGGCAAATTTTGTCTAGAGTCGTTGGGAAAAGGGTCCCTTGTTCGGAGGTGTCTTCCTATTTACCCACATATGAAATCTTCGATGACCTTGAAACTGCCCGTTGAAACTGCCCGTTTAACAGAGGTTTCCGTTGTGGAGACGCATCCGTTAAAAGAAGTTTTATTGTACATGATTTTTTCTAGTATGGGTCATTTTCACCCAAAGCAACACAAATAAAAAGCAACCAACTGCACAAGTCCAATTTTGAAGTGGAGGGTAAGTATAACCTAAATCCAAACATGTAAGTCAGTGAAGAAAGGTATTCAATGACATTATTTTATTACTAAATTTGAAAATGAGATTTAGGACTGAAACTATGATAAAATCTTAAATTATGTTGTTTAATGTTAGTTGACATTCATTAACTTAATTAAAAGGTAATTTGAATCAATTGCCCGCTTTAATTTACAATTATATGATCTTTTCTAATTGGGAAGGAGCAGTTTTAAAGTCTACAAAATAAATAGCAACCAATGGCACAAGTCAAAAAGTGAAGTGGAAGGCAAGTAAATACTAAATCCAAATTGTCATACAATTCGCTGGTGACATTGAGAATTACAGGTTAGCCGTATTTTAAGTTTATTTACTAGCCTATGCTTATTATAGTCTGTTCCTTTGTTGGTGATTCCCTTAATATAATAATATTATTTCGAGTTTGTGTCGGTATTTTAATTAAGTACCATTAATTTCGTTCGGAACGTGACTAGTACGGGATTATGGTCTGTATCGATATCTGCTCTGGGGTAAGTTTTGGCAAAAAGTATAAAATTATGAAATTTTATTCGTATGAGGACAAAATAAATTTGATTTCGGATTGATTTTAGTCGTTTTATAGTGTTATTAATAAAATGGGGAATTATCTCCAAGCAGAAGTAAAATCCGTCATTTATTAATCTGTTTGTCAAAAAAAAAGTTACATTAAGTATCTACACATTGTTGAGGTAACGAAAGAATATAAGGAAGAATAAATTAAACATTCATATTCATTAAATGCATTTATTTGTCCATGTTCATATTCAGTCACATCTGTTAGGTAATCGTTCTAAAGCAAATTATGCTTGTCTTGGCCTGTAAGTTTTGTTGGAGAAATTAATATATACTTGTTGAACTCTCATATTAGGTGTTAAGAAGTTTTCTAAAGTGTCAACATTTTCCCTTGGCTGTCGGTCAAATGGATACCCCATGGAACGTTTATCAGGATATAGTTTATCTTTTATACCGCAATAGCTGTCAGCATCATTGCAAACACCTCTATTATCTTGATTAATCTGTAAATTAAAATTAGTAAGATTACTCAATCAAATCACGTAACATATATATTACATAATACTAATATAATATGTGCTGTATACTTTTTAATTTTTTATTATTAATGATCAGCAGATAAGAAAATAAAAGACAAAAAAAGCGAAAGATGGAGAAATGGAGAGTTGATAATAAGTACATCGAACATAAGACCAATAGTGGCCCTAGGAAAAATGTTGAAAATGGGCAAAAAACTTAGAAAAGTATAAAATAGACATTGCAACAATACAAGAATTACGTTGGAAAAGACAGGAACATATTGGCAAACACGACTTTAAAATGATATACTCAGAAAGCAAGAATCAAGGAACAAAGTGGGATTTGGATAAATTTATGTTTTAAATTAATATGTGAAAGAATTTTATATAAATTAATAAATAATAAACCGTTTAATATAATATCAGTGGTAAACCTATCCGCACCTAGAGAAACAAGCAAGGCAGATGAAAAAGAAACTGCTTATGATAGGGTATGATAATGCAGATACAGATTGAAAAAATATCCAAAGATATTATATTTGCACTAGGAGACCTTAATGCCCAGTACCAAAAAAAATAACTCAAAACTTTGTAACTTTACAACAAAAACTAATTAAAAATAACATCAACAAAATTTTAACATCCTAAAATACGTTAAGTAACGTGGGTATCACCATATTAGAAAACGTACAGCCAAATTTATCAACTGATGATTTAAAAATAAAGAACCAATTAAAGATGACAACATTTAGACGTGCACATACATATTCAGATCACTATTATAGCCACAGCCACTGAAAGACCAGAAGTTACAATAAAAATGAAACAGAAAAAACTAGAATATCAATAAATTGCACAATGCAGACATTATACAAAAATACAAAAATGAATTAACAGTGGAAATAAAAGAGAGATGTAAAACACTATACCTACATCAGAATGGGAGACGATTAAAAAATCAATAGAAGAATATGTAAACAAGCCGGTAGACAAACGAAAACCAAAGGAAAACAAATAAGAAGTTAATTGTTTAACCAGAAATGTAAAAAAATATTAGCAAAAAAGGTGCAAAATCAAAAATTAAACGGCTAGAACACATAAAAAGGAAGAAACAAAATAATAAATAACTAAGAACGAACGCTAAGAAAATTATAAAACTAAAATAAAAGAAGATGGATAGATGAAAAAATAGAAGAAATAGAAGAGGTGAAAAGGAATAGAAACATTTTTTGTAAAAACATTTAAGAATAATCAAAAAATACAATTGTAAAACCAACTAAATAAAAAACAAAGAGGACATATTAATATAATGAGAGGATAGCTTTTTTCTTGCCTAAACCTGTGTCCAGAAACAAAGTTCCCTTCAAAATTATGAAGTACGTTTCTATAAAATATGATTGTAGCTGTGGCATTTCATATTCCCGAAGTTATACAGAAAACTTTAAACTCTACAGATTTTGGAAACAAGGAGTACCTACAACAGTTTCACACTGTCAAGTTAAAATTTGCCTCAATCGTGGCTTATTTCCCATTAAAATAGTAAATTGCATAAGACGCCACAAAGAAATAGCTTCAGAACAATATTTTATTTACTTGACACTAAGGTTTATTAAATCAACTATCTTCATTTTTTTAGTTAGTGCACATAATCCCACTAAACTCTCAAAAGAAGCAATTTTTTTATATCGAATACTTTTTGCCGTAACAAAATTATTAATAAACATTTTCTCCTCTTATCAACGTCTGTGGTAAATATTATTTAAATCTTACAAAAATTTGGTTATAGAATTATTCATGTGATAGTAGTAGAAAAAGGTAAATATAATCTTTGTTTATTAGGCAATGACCGCACATGTAACGATAACATCAACATATTTCTATATGACCGCATATGCAACGATAATAGCCGTGATCGCAAATGCTACGACCGCATCTGCAACGGCACCACTTTAAACACGTGGGAGGGACAATAAACAAAACCTTACAAAGAATGCAAGAAACAAAAGAAAAAATACAGGCAGCGAAGAAATCTAATTTTGCTAGTAAAAGATTACTTAAAATTAAAATACTGACTAAGAAAACAAAGATTGACATCCATAATATAATAGTTAGATCAATATAATTACACGAAGCAGAAACAATGACAATAGCTAAAAAGATGAGAGACAATTACGAATAGTAGAACGAAAGATCATGAGATACATGCTGGGACCAATAAAAACAGATTAAAATTAATATAGAAGCAGAACAAATGCAGAGATTAAGAAAATCGATGTTATTAGTTAGATATTTTAATTTTTTATTAATGATCCCGACCTATTTGAGAGGGAGGATAGGTCAATTAATATTACTGAAGTTGGCATCTAACTATTTCTGCAAAAATCCAAATGTCTATTTTTCTCACGTCCACCTTAAAACAGATCCGCCCTGGTCTACTAGCAATCTTTGTAGATCGTCGATATTCTCTCAACAGAGAGGTATCTCATTAGCGTGTCGGATATTACAAATCTTCTCTTCTTTGTCAATCATTTTCCATCCACTCCTGAATGTAGGTCTCTCCCAATCGCTTTCATCTTTTTCTATCCTGCGCCAAGCTAATCCACTGTTTGCCTGCCACTGCTCTTATGTCATCTACCCATCTTTTTTGAGGTCTTCCCATACTTCTTGTTGTTGTCCTTGGTCTCCATGCTAAAATTCTCTGTGTCGACCTATTGTCATAATTTCTTCCACAATATCCTTAACCTTCATTCTACGTCTTATCTTGGTGTTTCTAATCTTGTCTTTCAGTGATATTCTAAGCATGATTCGTTCCATTGCTCTTTGCGTTGTTTCTAATTTTTTAGCAGATTTTTTGGTAAGGGCTACTGTCTCCAAGCCGTAGGTACAAACTGGTAGTATGCATGTGTTATACACCTTTTTCTTTAAGTTTATAGGAATGGAGATGTTTTTCAAGATATGTGCTAGTTTACCGAAAGCGCCCCATGCCAGTTGTGTTCTTCTTTTAATTTCAGCATCTTGATTTGGTTTTCCTAGTTTGATAACATGACCTAGATATACCTAATGTTCAACATTTTCTATGGTATGATTTTGTATTGTTATAGTTGTCTGGTCTCGGTTCAGTATTTTTGTTTTGCTTAGTTCATTTTTAAGCCTACCGCTCCTGAAACTGCATTTAATTGTTGTAACATATCATATAGTTCTTGGATATTATCGGCTATTAAAACTATGTCATCTGCGAATCTCAAGTAGTTTAAGTATGATCCCTCGACGTTGATGCCCTTATTGTTCCATTCCAGTTTCTTAAAAATATCTTCTAGAGCAAGGCTAAATAGTTTGGGAGAGATGGTGTCTCCTTGTCTTACTCCCCGTTGTAGTCTTATGGGATTAGTTTTTGTGCTTTCGTCCAGCTTTATCTGCATGGTGGCATTTTCATATTTATGTTTTTAATTATGGTAGTGTATCTTGTATCTATGCGTGCATTTTGTAGAGATTCAAGCACTGCCCATAATTCGATGGAATCGAATGGTTTATGGAAATCGACGAACGCCATATGAGTTGGAACATTATACTCGGTGCATTTTTTGTCAGTGTTCTTACGTTGTGCAAGTGGTCTATGGTATTAAAATGTTTTCTGAATCCAGCCTGCTCGATAGATTTACAGAAATCGAGCTTATGTGTTGGGCGGTTGGTTATGATTTTAGTTAGTAATTTATACAGATGTGATAGCAAGGATATTGGTCGGTAATTCTCGATGTTTTCTTTGTCTCCTTTCTTGAATAGTAAAATGACTTCGGAGTTGTACCATTCTTGAGGAATCTTTCTTTCATCAATGACTTTATTAAATAAAATATTTAATACCTGTTTCATTTTTCTGCCACTTGTTTTTTGCTTTGAGTACTTTCATGTTGCAGTTATCTTATATTATATTTTTTATTAGATTATTAGTATAGTTTCTATGATCGTTCCTAATTTATTTCTTTGCGTCTTTGTTTAAACTTCTGAAGCTGTCCGAAGTTCGATTTGTTCTGTTTCGTCTTTCTTTGAGTAGTTTAATTGTATTCGGTTGGAGTTTAGATGTTTTGGGTGAGCATATTTTCTTAACCGATGTTGTTACAGTTACTTTTATTTTATTGGCTAGTCCGTTTATATCCATTTGTTTCAGTGTCTCTGTAGATTTTAGTCTTGTGCTTAGCTCTTTTTGGTATTCCGTTTGTTTTTGAAACAGGACATCGGTGGTTGGGTATCGTTCTCTATTAATAAGTTTCGTTCTACTCTCGTCTGTATGTTAATATTCGCTCTAACCAATCTATGGTCACTCCCGGTATAGAATTTGTTTAGTACTGTCAAGTCGGTGCATATGTTTTTGTTATTGGAGAGTACGTAGTCTATTTTATTCTTGCCTTACGTCTCTTTTTATCTCTACTTCCTCCGAAAGTTCTTTAATATACGCTAACTAGTATCAAGTTGTAAAATGTAGCGGATAAATACACTTAAAAAAATAAAATTTAAGCTTGAGCCATTGCAGACGATAACTAATTTTTTAACAACAAATTTGCATACTTCTTTAAAATTGTCGATATAAGTAGATTAACCGTATGCATAATATATTAATATAATTTTATAAAAGCAATACTTACAGCATCATCAGCCCAGTTGGAAATCATAACAAAAAGTTCACATTTAAATCCAGGGTTGTCGGTATTACCCATAGGGATCAACATATGTTGGGGCCAACCGCATCCGCAGAAGTTAAATGTAGATAAACGATTGCCTCCTTCAGGTCTCGTGGAATCTAAGTCTCGGAAAGTCCTATCAAATGGTATAGTTACAGAAGAATCCGTGGAATTACGAGTTATTAAATTTTTACCTTGTTTCACTAAAAATAAAGTGTTTTTAATTTGGGATTGCAATTTGAGTAGGTATATAAGAGAAAATATTTTAAAAAATTATAACATTACAGAAGATTGGATTCAATATTTTTCTTTTAAAATTACGTAGCAGGTAAAAGAAGAAACACTACATATATAACAATTTAACCTTCAATCGAATATTATTAAATAAATCTTTTCTTATTATGAAATAAAAAAGTAAATATCAAACTGGTTTTATTCTTTCAAGGAGAAAAATTATTATCTTGGAGTTTTGCCATTGTCAACTTGATTTAACCTCATGAAAATAACTAAAAAAAAAAGAACTTTGTAGTTATAATGGTTCGTCATTATGTGAAAAAGAAACCACCTCCATGATATTCTTAAGTAACCTTTAAAGAAGCAGTAGAAGCTCTAAAAACTAAACAAATTACACTTTACAGAGCTTCAAAACATTACTCCATTCCAACAGCAACATTATTTTAAAAAGTCACAAGATTAAGAGGTGAAAAGAGTGGCATTATGGATAGGCCAACAGCTTTACCTATAGATATTGGAATCAAAATTGCTGAACATGTTAGAACCATGAAAAAATGGGGTTTTGGTCTCTCAAAAAATTGAATTTGCAGAGTACTTTGACTTAGTGAAAGAAATCACTTTGAATATACCCCCTGAGGCGATTTATAATCTACATAAAAACAGTTTCCGCCTAGATTCTAGTCGTGTAAAAGTAGTGGGCGTAGGAAATTTCGACACTAAGCAGGTAGCGACTAAAATTTAATGGCAATTTTCGACACCAGCCCCAATTCCCGTTTTTATCTTACAGGTATATTCGACACCAAATAAATATAGCTGCGACATAAATAAAATACCATAATTAATTTATTTATTTATTTTAATAAAAGTAATCTGCATTTTATTTCTTTATAACTGTAATAATATCTAAATATAATACAACTAGTACCTAATTTTTGTACATTTTACCGTTAATATACTTGTATACAATGATTTATTTGCTATTATAGGAATGATAAAATACAGCTTTTATAAAATCTAACCTACATATTTGTTGGGATCGTAGTTTATCCATCATTTTCTCCAAAAATGCCAATGTAGCCTTAACAGTAGTATCTTTGATTTTTGCTGGTATATGTAAACTATTTATTTTGACATAAGTGTCTACTTGAAATTCTTTTAACTTTTCAATAAAAATAAAAATAGAAGGATGTGTTGAATAAAAAGAAGAATTAAATCTCGAATGAAAGGATTCACAGGCATTTGTGGTCCTCGCAATAGACGGATTCTGATTAGACCATATGTGTGGTGGAAATAGAGCGCTATCGAAAATGTAATTTTCCAGTAAATAATCTGCATATATATCAAGTGTTGCGTTTATAGGTTTATATGACATTAAATCATAAAGAAAGCATTCTTCAACTTCTGCTGGATTTAAATAAGTTAAACCAAACGTATGCCTTAACCATTTTCCAATTTCTGAATTTGTATCCTTATATTCTTGTACCAAAACCAAAGATTGAATTTTTTTAAACCAGTTTTGGTGTAAGTGAAAACGGCATCCACTAATTTTTGCATTGGGCCACATATACAATGAAGCACAGTGAATTGCTTTTTCAAAGTCCACAAATATTTCAGTTGGCTCTAATCATAATTGAAATGTTTCAAAAATCTTAGACCTTAATAAAGAAAATAAATTTTTGTATGTCATTGACAATTTGTCCTTTAACAAACAGTATGCTAAAGGAACATAATGTCCATTTTCCAAGCCATGTATAGTAAATAATTGTAGAAAATATTTGGTACTGTATGAAAATGGACCATCCATATACAAAGTTTTTAATTTACACAACAAACGAATATTTGTCTCGCATGAAAATACAATTACATTTAATTCAGGATGATTTAAAAACAAAAAACTTTCACTGCGACAGGTTTTAGGAGAATAATTAGTAACCGCGTTATGGACTTCTGATATGCACTTGGTAACGGACCTGGTAACAGTTTACGACGACAGTTGTAAATGTTCTTTCTTATGCTAGCTATGTCAGGAACCGTCAGCAAATTGGCGTCACACTCAGCAACAGCAGTTCTTGTAATTTTGGCAGGCTTGTCCGATATGTCCTCTTGAGCTTTTCTTTTACATGCATTGGTTACCATCTTTACTTCAAGCTTTTTTGGATCGGCTTCATGATTATGTACCAAATCACTTCTTGTGATGGTGAGGTCCTCACAGCCTATTGTAAACACTTTTGCGGAACACTTAGTGTTTCTTTGGATGCAGCGTCAAAATATCTCGCCGCTTTTTAACACTTTTTGTTTCGAGAACGAATGATGCTCCACCACTAATAAATCTCGACTACGGGAACTTTTTATCAAACTTATTTTTTAAATATCCGTATACGTGCACAAGTCAACGTCAAACAAGAAATAAATTACAACTGAAATAATTTAGTCACAAGTACACAAGTGCCACGCCCCCCGCCGTGACAATAAATATTGGGAAAACCCGCTTGTCCTGCTTGGGTGCAAATGTCCATCGCCGCTAATTACCTATCACCTGCATCACCTGCTTTACGCCGCGGTGTCGAAATTTCCTATAAAAAAATTTGACCCTTCGATTACCCCAGGTACAAAGACAATTTGGCGTCGAAAGTTCGCCCGCCGAAAGTAGTAACCGAAAAAAGAAAAGCTGGTCCTGGCAAAGAAAACTTTTCTGTCTTAATGGGTGGCAATTATGCAGTAGAAAAATTACCATACCTTATTATTTTCAAAGAAAAAAACTCAATATTCCTTAAGAGAAACCCGTTATTCCGATCTATAACGGCCACTTTTCGCACACATCAATTGCCCTTATAGAAAACGATTTCAGGGAAGACATAATTATCTTAAAACTACCGCCACATAGTAGCCATCTCCTACAGCCAATGGATTTGGCTGTATTTAAGCCCTTAAAATAAATGTACGATAAAGCTCTTATACAGTGGCAAAGAAGAAATTATGATATAAAATTACCAAAATCCATATTTTCTTCTATAATTTTACAAGTATGGAAGAAACTAAGTTTGCACAATATTAGAAGTGGTTTCAATAAGGTCGGTATTTACCCATTTTGCAATACAGTCATTTCTGTGAAAATTTGAACCCAAGGCTTTCAAAAGATTTCAACATTATAATTCTAAGGAGGCTTCATTGGTGAGAAATAAAAATGACCCTGGCGATACCCCTCAACAAGATGAAATGACCGAAAATACCAATGGCAACGAAGCAACACACTTGGTAAACAGTTTTGCGATAGAAGACAAACTGTCTCTTCAAATCAAAATTATGCATTAAAAAGGCTTTCTAAAGACATTTCTTCGAATCTATTTTACTCAAACATGGTAAATTATCCCCACTAGAGTACCAAATACGTTAAAAAAACTGTTTTGGCGCTCAGAATATAATATACACACACTATTTAATAAAACTAGAGATACTAAAGATAAAAAGAACGTAAAATCCAATCAAACGAAAAGAAAAAGGATAAAGAAGAAGGAAACATTATCCTACAGCAGTGATGATAAACAAGTTTTCATTGCGACCATATCAGATTCCGTCGACGACATTGATATTGATAGATTAAGGGTTCCAACCCCTCCCATAGAAGAAAAGTTAGTACATCATCGTGAGGTTTTGCCCGATGATTTTTTATTATTGAAATTTCCAGTTAAAGAAGGCTCAAATTATATTTATTATGTCGTTAAAATTTTGCAGTGTTTAAATATTGAATTTGAACTCAGTTGCCTTTGAAGATAGCATTGGAATTGTAAAACCATTAAGTTTTTTTTCAAGTTACAAAAAGGCCACAGGCTTTAATTTGATTTCCTATTTCTCTAAATCACTTTAATGTTCGCTAATAACCATATTTTTTAAAACTTTTATTAGAAATATATTTCGAAATGTTTTTTTTTATTTATTTCTACTTGCCCCAGACTGATTTGCATTAAATTCAATATATAAACTCCGATAGGTTCCCACTTGGCCCTTGCCACTGGGGCAAGTGGAAACCATGTCACACGATTGAAAATTTCTTTTTAGAAAAAAGTGTTTTAAGGTTTTTTTTTTATTTTTTAACACTACATTCGTATTAGAAACTGGTGTAAGTCTTACCTGTCGGTAACCTGATAGAGTGGATATAAAACTAAATTTTACGAATTGAAATGCCAAATATATAGCGAAATGAGAACAATTCACCAAACCTTTTGTGTATGAATCGGTATTAATAGACTTTTATAACGTTATTTATGTATCCCTACATATTCAGACAGTCGGGCTGATATACAGTCATACACGGAACGGAGAGCAAATGTGTCCACTATTTTTCACTTTAAATGATAGCAACAACAAGTATCATCTACTTTGCTGGCCATAAACCTAAACGATTTACTACTATCGTTTTCTGTCTTTTTCAGCTGTACGAAATTTAAAAGAACAGCAAAAGTTTTGGTATGGTTTTGATTAATTGAAATACCAAATATATGGCGAAAGGAGAAGCATGATTCATCAAACCTTCCGATTCATACACTGAAGATGTATTTTAAAACAATGAAAAATGTATATACATTTAAAATTAAACTTACGATCAACTCTGAACTTATCAAGTTCAATAAACATATTTTTTTGGTCTCTAAATAACCATGGATTGCCTCTTTCATCGTTTTTGGGAGCTAAAAAGATTCTGCATGTTCCTTGTCTAGGCTGTCCGCTATTTGAAACAGTAATACGGTATTTAAATTCATGGTGGTCTAAGTGGGTAAAACGAATAAATACAGCACCGCGTGGTTGAAAGTCCATTCCTCGTGATAGATCTACATCAGATTGTTTCCAAAACGTAGTAAAAGTATTAGGTGGCCCTTGTACTGATTCTACTGCTATGTTGTCTACGGTAACTCCTGGATAATTTAACTGTAAAAATTTTAAAAATAGAAAAAGCCGTATTATAAAGTCTTAAATAATTAAATTTAAATTTACCTGATTAACGGTATATCTAGGCAATGATGATTTATATCTTTGAAACATGGAATCAATATAGGAATGCCATCTATAAAATACAGGATCACGCATAGCAGTTGCTGAGTCACCCATGACCCCAAAAGATTCCTAGAAAACAAAAACATTGTATGTGTTATAGATTAAAAAAAATTGTACAACATATTCTCTGAATATGAAGTTGGTTTTATGTCATAATTGTAGTAAATTTTATTGTAATCCTTCTTTTTCTTCTCTTGTCACTACACCACTTTTAGGTCCCAGATGTGAGGAGAGCAAAGAGCTGAACACGTTGTGGGCGAATGTCCAGCCTAATTAAACAACCCCTAAAAATAGTCACGGATAGCAGGCTTGACAAGCTTGCCAGTTTTATTAAGCAGCTCGTACGTCTAAATTGGAGGCCCGATGGCAACCAATATTGAGGATAAATCTTTTTAAAACTCAATAGGAGGGAACTGATAGGGCAAGAAAAATAACTTTTTAGAGATACGTGTAATTTATAAAGCGTTGATTAATCAGCTGTAAGCTAAAAAAATAGTTTCTACAAGTAAAACATTCTTGAGTGGAAGATTAAAATATTTGGGCTTTAAATTTAAAAAAGATGATTATCGAAGAACTTGAATTGAAAAACCATCTCACTCCATCTCACCCAAGTTATTTACTTTTGCATTAGACAATGTTTTCAAACGACTAAATTGGGCCGAAAATGGATTAAAAATAGATGGAGTATATCTTAACCATTTGCGTTTTGCAGACTAATCATGAACTAAAATCAATGCTACAAGATTTAAATCACAAATCGAATCAAATAGGATTAAAAATGAATCTCGACAAAACAAAGATATAAAGCAACAGCCTAGAAAACATCACGATAGATAACATCAATATAGAAAAGGTAGAACAATATATATATATATACCTATATATATATATATATATATATATATATATATATATATCTAGGACATGCAATTAAAAACGAAAAGGAAAATCAGACCCTAGAAATTAAAAGGACACAATTATCGTGGGCTGCTTTTGGTAAGTTGAGCTTAATTTTAAAAGACAGAAAAATCCCAATTCACTTAAAACGAAAAACCTACGACGCTTGTATACTACCAGTTGCAACTTATGGATTGGAAACGATGGCAATAACAAGAAAAATTGCAGAACAATTAAAAGTAACTCAACGGGCCATGGAGAGGACCATGTTAAATATAAGCCTCAGAGACAAAATTCCTAACACCGAAATACGTCGAAGAACTAAAGTAACCGACATCATGGGAAAAATAGCGACATTGAGATGGCAATAGGTAGCACATGTAGCAAGACAATACACCAACAGATGGTCTCATAAAGTGCCATTCTGAAGACCTCGAGAAATAAAAAGAAGCGTGTGAAAGCCTAAAAGGATTCCGTTGGTCAAAGAATACAATGGCACAGTATTTCCTGGTTGGCATATTTTAATACAGACAAACTGGCTTACAAGACCAAGATATTGAGTTGTGGATGTGTACTATGGGAAAAGCACAAAGTGGACGTCCATCGTTTCAGCTCTCCAAATTGAGCCCTATTAATGACACGACGCTACCAATTAATGATGCCAAATATAAAAATCTACTAAGCCTCTGAGACTTCATTCCCTTATGTCACCACCTGTTTTACCAAAATTTGAAACATACTGGAACATCAACGGCAGATGCCAAATTGGAATTAGCAGAATCAGCTGCCAGCAGAGACGACGCCGATGGGAACGGGCGGATTACGAATGGTACTGTACTTAAAAGTTTACAAAATAAAGTTTAGTTGAATATCTAAAAAATTATTAGTAATAGCTAACCTCTGCACTTCAACCGTTTTACCTCTGACCCCCTCACATATTATTTTTAAGTAGAAGTAAAGTAAAATTCAAATTTTTCATACCTCATTTATGAAATTTAATTCATACAAAAATTAGTAAAAACAAATTTTAATATTTCTTATTTGTGTATTTCTGATAAAAAAAGTATTAAAGTTTAAATAAAAAACGTTAGCGAAAATACGAAAATTCGTCATCTACCAGCAGATGATTCATTCTAAGAAAGTGAAAGGAGTATCAACAGAAAAATTACGGTTATATCAGCGTCACCACGTTTATATGCAACTGGTTTTAGAAATATCAGATACATGTTACGGATCTTCATTATTAAAATCATGTTTTTACTTCCCAATATAATTAATTTTAAAACTAATAGTCATACTAATATTTATTATTATTACTACTACTTACGAGATGTCTATGGTCGGGATCGTGTATATATGAAAGAAATACGTGCCCCATGTTATGCAGATCTCCATACAAATCTCTGTTAGGTGAAAGAATACTGGATTCGATTATGTTGCCCAAAACATCTATTCCTTCGTTTTCTGTTAGCAAAATAGTTTGACCATTTTTCTAAAAAGTACAAACGAAAGTATTAAAACATTAATATATACAGTAAATCAGGGATTCTTTACACACTAACATAATTAGGAAAAAAATATATATACTTAGTCCAACATATCGCGTTTGAATCGGTATCAATAGAGCGATATAACTGTTATTTCGGTGTCCCATCTCTTCAGTCATTCGAGTTTATACAAATTCAAACTCGGAATGCTCAACTAATATCTCCGAAATCTATACCACGTTAGTGGAAAATGTGCAAAAGATTAAAACTTTTAACAAAAGCTTGCTATTGCGCTGACGATTTAAAAACCAAATATATTATATGGCGTTGAGGCACAAAATAGTCAAACCTTTCGCGTTTGAATCGGTATCAATAGAACGATATAATTGTTATTTCGGTGACCCCACATCTTCAGTCATTCGAGGTGATACATATTGAAACTCAAAATGCTCACCTAATATCTTCAAAATCTTGAATACATTAGTGTTACTTCACAAAGGTGCCTTCTACTCTGATGACGAAGTACCTACTGATAATAAATCGATTTGACAAAATCTCTGGCGCTTATTACGTCTTCTCTCCAGGAAAGACTTTTCAAATATATATTTTTAGTCATTATCTGCAAGTACGTGTTTCAAAGCTACACAATCTCAGCTACAAATTCTACCCAATGCCGTTTTCGTGGAAGCATTTCCCGTAACGTGAGATTGTTTATAATGTGAAAGTTTAAATTTAGTGTTTTGTGATAAAATTTCAAGTTCCTTATTTTACTTTCTGTCATTGGTACACTCTAATCGAAAGATATCTGATTTTTTATTGTAGGGCTGATACAATTTTTATTTAAAAAAGTTTGTTTCATTCTACACAAAAAGTTCTAATAAACACTTTTGTTCAAAATTATCTCAGCTACTTCTCTTGTTTGAAACATTTCTTTTTACGGCTTACAGATTCTTGGGAAACCTATGTTATTGCTATCAGGGTGATTTTAGGAGGAAGCCCGGGGTAGTAGTGGCAAACGTTTTAGTATGTACTGGTTACCAAAATTGACATTCTCAGCAAAATTCAGCTTGTTCGTATGATTTTTAAAGCCTTTCCGTCTCTGACGACTGGATTATTTTATGTAAATATTTAACAGTTACAATTAAATTTGTTGAATATTTTACAGAAATTTGTAGAATTATTTTTTTATATATTATTAGTTTTAAAAAATATTTGCACTAAATATTATTGCTAATATAAAAGCAACAAATATTAGGTATGAGCAAACTAACATTTATGTTTGTTAATCATTGATCGTAAATATAAAAATAACTGTATCTACCAATAAAGTAATTTAACTAAACAAAATGGGAACATTTTTGTAAACAATTAAATAATCTTTTCGTACTTACACCTTGTACTCGACCAGACTGAATAGCTTCAAAAATTCTGTCCCTCCATCTTTCCAAATCATCAATATCAATCGTAATCTGATCTTGCTCTCTTTTAAGATTTGATAATTTTTGGTTAGAAACTCGTGCTGGCCAAGCTCTGCTTGAAACTAAACTATCCAATTTAGGGAAGTATGCTTCTGCAACCGGTTCTCTCCAATTAATGAATCGTTCAACACGCTTCATACCATGGCAAAGACGCTCAAAGTTATATCTAAACAAAGATAGCGCGTTATGATTAGCAAGTAAATATGAATAAGATAAATAGAAGACAAAAATCTTTATCGAAAAATCATTTTTTTGTTCATATTTTTACTATGCAAGCTAAGTTTTGAATCGAAATCAATTAGATCGTTTATTTGAGAACTAAATCTGCATTTAAAAATCAAACATTTTCATCAAAAGTGAAAAATTTTTATGACTGAACAAGTTAACCAAGACATGTGTTAGGCGTATTTTGCATGTTGATTAAGGATACGTTGTAGAAATAAATGCATCTATCGTTATTTGCGAATTATACTGTTTTTATTGAATTTCTTAGAACCTCAAGTTAATATTTCTGTTTTGAGCATTTTTGCGCAATAACTTGAGTGTTTAATCGAAATCCGTGGTAAGTTTTTAAGTTCAAGTTAAGTTTTTAAAATCTAAGTCTGGACAGACGGACGGGCAAACATTATCTATATGATCAAAATTTTATTTTCGTGTAATTATTTTAATCCAAAAACAATAAACTATTTAATCTATAATACTTAATAACTTTACTTGAATATAAGTCTTTGAAAAGTCGCAGGACAATTTTTATTGAATAAAAACTTAAAACTGAATACGCGATATATATATATATATATATATATATATATATATATATATATATATATATATTTAAATTTGCTTTCTTTTATTTTGAAATGGTATTCTGTTTTAAAATTACCATAAGGAAAAATAACAAAAACAAGAATTTGTGCACCAATCTTGTCCTAATTTTGTGCACCATTTAATCATTGGCAGACAACTTTATCGTCAGATATTAAAACTAGCTGTTAATAAAAGTTTGTATATTATTTATTGAAATTTTACAATATCGACATACAAACCAAATCGACCGCGTCCTAGTAGAAAGCAAGCACGCGAAATTAGTAATAGATGTTAGAAGTTATAGAGGGGCAGATGCGGATCCCGATCACATACTAGCCCAAACTATCCCAAAAGTCAGAGAATAGAGTAATCAGTTGATGAAAATAGACAAAAATATTAAGCAGAGCATATGGATAGAACGCTCCAAGAGATTGAAGAACATTACTTAATAAAAATGTGAAAAACTTCTACCGGAAGGTGAAAAGAAACAGGGACTAAGGCGCAAATAATCAGAATTATTACAAGAGTAAAGAAAGGTATCTAATAGGACATAAGCAGCGAAGGCTAGGTAGATGCAAGATTATTTCAAATATCTGACATGGTAAAAACAATAGAGATTACCAGAGTAAAAGAAATAAGAGAAATCATAAATAACGTGACAAACAATTAAAGTGCAGACAGCAATAGTATTCCTGCAGAACTAATCAAGCATGGGGGAGAATCATATATAACGCGGATATGTAGCCTGCTGAGGAAAATCTGAAAGCAAGAAAAAATGCAGGAAGTATGGAGAAAGGCAATAGTATGGCCCATTCATAAGAATGAAGATAAAGCAGTGTACGAAAACTACAGGGGTATCACTCTTCTGTATGTAGCAAATAGGGTACTCGCCAGTCATAAGAAATAGACTGGAAAGGTACTTAAATGAGCAGGTTGGTAAATACCAGGAGGGATTCAAAAAGGGCAGATCCACTGTAGATCAAATATTCATGTTAAAAATGATTCAGTAGTACGTACGAGCAACAGTTAAAGCTAAACCTAGTCTTTTTAGATTGTAAACAAGTTTACGTAACTGTGAAAAAAGACGTCTGTACCATTCTCTAAGAATATTTGCAATTTCAGTTGATTAGACTTATAAACATAACCTTAATGTAGACCCACAATAGAGTAAAAATAAAAGAAAGCTTAAGAGTAAAAAATAGCGTAAAAATAGCGTAAAAATAAAAAAATTTGAAGTAAGAAGGGGACTAAAGCAGGGAGATCTGCTATGTACAATACTTCAATTTCTCGCTCGCAAGAATGAGATAGAGCGGAATACGAACAAAAGGTATGATTCATGACAACAGAAGTTAGGTCCTGGCCTTTGTGGACGATATAGTGTTATGACAAGAACTAATAGGTAACTGATAAGGATTTTTAAACTCTTTAAAGTAAAGGCTAAAGAGTACTGCACTGACTATTAATAAGCAAAAAAATATGTGAAAATGGAGCAAACCACATATAAAGACAGACAACTGAAGACAATTACAAACAACGAGAGTATAGAGTATTGCTTCAAAAAGGTGACAGAGTTTGAGAATCTAGGAGCAACCCTAGAAGTAAAGCGGAAAAAGCCAAGAAACTGAGAAGCGAATTTCGAGAGGAGAGAAAATGATCGGAGCTCTACACAAACTATTAAGCGCAAAAAAATTATCTCCAGAGAGGCAAAGTTGAGACTGTACCGAACAGTGATCCAACTGTTCGAAAGCAAAACATTAGTTATGTACAAAAATCAAAAAAATATGCTGAATATCGGTGAATAAACGGTTTTAATAAAGATATTTGGGGGAGTAAAAGACTATAGAGACGTGTATATGTAATATAAATATATTACCTAGCAACTACTTGTTGATGCATATAATAGAACAATTCTCCTCTTCTGTTCTTATTAACCACTTGCATTGCACCTTCGTGCGGATATACCAGATGCCAATGCCAATGATGTAGATTAATACCCAAGTCCTCCCTAAAGTAGGCTAAACGATGTTCTATCTCCAAATCAGTAGCAGTAAAGTCCTTACGAATTTCGATTGGTGCCTAAAAAATAAAGTAATATGTTGTAATTGTATTAGACTAATCTACAACTAAATAAAATTACTACAAGCGAGAAAAGGCTCATTTTAATAGCCTATCGACATGAGTTATGTACTAGAAAGTTTCTTCTTCCATTATTTTAATCCTCTAAATCTGTTCTTCAAAAATTTATTGTATTTTATTAATCTTTTTCTTCTTTTTATATAGACATGACTTTGTCTGTTTTCCAATGTGCCTCCATTAATTTGTCATTCCATCGTTTTCGTGGTCTTCCTACTGATCGTCTTCCTATTGGGGAACCATCTCTTGCCGTCTTTACTACTTTATTTGTTGTGATTCGGCTTATATGATCGTTCCATTCTACTTTTCTATTTCTTGCCCTGTTTTTGATGTTTTCCACCTTGCATATATATTGTATATCTGTACTTCTAGCTCTGTCCCATAGTTTCTTACCATCAATTTTTCCAAATGTTTTCATCTCTGCTGTTTCTAACATCTTTTTTTCCTCTCTGTGTCAGGTCTTGTTTCTACCGCGTATGTCATTATTGATCTGATGACTGTTTTGTAAATTCTGCCTTTCGTTTCGTTCCCGATATTTTTATTTCTCCATATTGTTTTATTTAGGCAGCCTGCGACTCTGTTTGCTCTATTAGCTTGATCTTCCACTTCGATTTCGAGCATTTCCGTAGCTAGATAATGTGATGCCTAGATATTTAAACTCCATCATTTGTCTATTATTACCTTCAAGCTCCAATTTACTACTTAGTAAATTTGCTGTTGTAACCATGCATTTTGTCTTCGTTGAGGAAATTAACATGTTAATTTTTTTTTTTCGGTTATAAGTTGATGCAGCATACGTTGTAAATCATCTTCACTTTGGGCGAGTAGTATTGCGCCGTCTGCATAGCAGATTATTTTAAGTTGTTTTTCTCCCATTTGGTATCCTTTTTTTGTTCTTACTTTTTTTATTATTTTATCCATAATCAGGTTGAACAATAGAGGACTAAGGGAATCTTCCAGCTTCGATAGGGTCGGTTAGTTCTTTTTCTACTTTTACTTTTTTTGTGTTGTTTTGGTAGATATTTTCGATCGTGTTGATTATTCCTAGGGGTATCTCTCTCGCATACAGTAAGTGTATAACGTCTTTTAATTTGATCCGTTTAAATGCCTTTGTAAGATCGACGAAACATAGATATGCCAGTTTGTTGTATTCTAATGATTTCTCTTGCACTTGCCTCATTATAAATATAGCGTCGTTTCATGATCTTTCCGATCTAAAACCTTGTTCTTCTTCTGCTAGTGTTATAATTTAATATATTTCATTTATAAAAGGGAAAATCCCAGCGGTTGGCTGTACACTTTAGTTGACACAACTTACGATGAAGTCAACATGTTGTTTGATAACTTACAATGAGGTAAACAATGATAATATCATTAGTGAAAATATCTTAATAATAATTGATACTTACCACTTAGTAAGGTCTAATATTCTTTAGATATTACATACTGAATTTCTTAAATTTTAAAGTGAATCGATGTTAAAAGCTTTTAGAGTCAGGTGGCTAGTATTTTCCTCAGGACACTAATGTCTTTGTTTCGAGTAGGAATCAGTATATTCCCGTAAAGCAAAATCTTCTAACATCGACCTCGTGTAACATTAATTTTAAATTTTTGATGTTTCAATTTCCACTTCAGAAAATTTAAAATTTAAGAATATATATATGTCTCCAAATTTCAATATTAAGGGCTATAAGACTTGGCGATGTTTTTACTGATGACATGACATGGCATAACATTAAAACGTACTCAAATTTTTAATTAGTTTGGATAATTTTAAATTTTACAATAAATATATACCATTATACATTATGAGATGACTTATTATACGAGTAAAAACAAAATTAAATAAAGCAATGGATTTAAAACTTACTCTGGATAGTGTAGGTACAATATTCGATTCTTCTCTAGCTTGGCCAAAAACTTTGCTATCAATATATTTGTCCGGAAAGCTTCTAATAAATGATGGCAAATCTATATCCTGGGTATCCGCCCTGTGCAATAGAGCTACCGAGAGACAGTAGTTGAAGAGATATGGGTTTACTTTGTCACGAGTATAAAGGGCAACAGATAGTAGATCATCAACATCACGCATTCCTAAAATAGTACTTTAATAGTTAATAATATTATTATATTAAATCAGACATTTTAAGAGTACATTTTAATCCTCTATTGTATAAAGGACCCAAATGGGAACTCAAAATATAAAATTTCCATGAGTGTTTGATATCGACAATTTTAACCGCGTACACATCTTATTCTCTCGTGGGAACATTCGTTCTTAGATGTGTATTGTGTGTTGCTGATATTACCCATCGGTTGTTGAAATAAATAGCAGTTTTGTTTGTTGTGACATTGGAGTGGGTTGTTAGTGTAGCACGTGTATATTATTTTCGAATATTAGCTAAAAATAAGGTAAGTTTAAGAAATAAACATTTATATGCGTTTATAAGTGTTGTGAGGATCTACTGGTATATTAAAATAATAAATTTACTTAGTTGTTATTAGTATTTGACCCAAATTGTTACTGTTTCCGTACAGGAACATTGTGTGATAAAGGTAAATGTTGACACTGAAAAAAGGAAAGATTTTATAGTTTGTTTTTTGCAAGTTGAAAAACTTCTTTAATGCATTATTGGTTTAAATAAGTTAATTTGAATAAACCTGAAGTAAACTTTCTTTTCAGAAAAAAAATTAATGAATTTGAGAAAAAGAGAATTGATTCCAGCAACATTGTTTTACAACAATAAAGCAAAAACTATTCAGCACTGTGAATTACGACAATTCCTTCTGAAAGTGAAGATTCGTAACTATCTGATGAAGATAACATTGAGTCGTTAGCTGCACAAACCACAAGGGCTAGAGTAAGCATTAACAGTCAAGGAGATTCTGATAATGAAGATAATGATTTAGCAATCCATGAATCGGATACTGAACTACCTACGAATCAAAAATCTATCAAAAAAGTCATATGACATGGCGTCCTTCAAAAACTGTGCGAAATGTAGATGAACTGCATTTTGAAGATAGTGAATTACTTCCAACCAACATATTGCAGCCCAATTCTCCTTACAAATTGTTTAGTTTTTTTTTTCACACCAGATTTCATAATTGAGTTTAGTAGTTTAACAAACTTGTAGGTATATACAGCGATCAAACAAATCCACAAAAGCCAATTACCGCATGTCCTGTAGAAATTGAAAATTTTATGGGAATATTGCTGTGGATGTCTCTAATAAGACAACCTACCACAAGACGCAATTGGTCTTCGACAACAAGAATTTTACAAGTTAAAGACGTAATGCTATCAATCGGTTTGATACGATCAAAAGGTTTGAAGGTTTGAAGAAATAAAAATATCTTGTTTGCAGATACCTTTAGAAGAACACTTATCTTGTGACGAACAAGTTATATCGTTCAAAGGAAGTTCGAGTATGAAGACATACAATTCCAAAAAGACTCATAAATGGGGATAAAAATGTAGGTTGTCTCAAGAATCTCACGATTTTCATATAATTTTGAAATTTAGGCTGGAAATGATGGTTACACAGAATTACCAAATGAAGTGAATTTGGGGGCTGCTAGAAATATTGTAGTTCGATTGTGCAAAAAAATGCCGTCCAATAAACACCACAAACTCTTTACGATAATTATTTTTTTAAGTATTGGTGTCATATTTATCAAAACGAGGCATACATTGTATCGCAACCATCTGTACAAATCGAATTCTGAATTATAAAGGTTGGTAAAAGACAGAAATTAAACAATTACAAAGGGTCAAAAGACTGATATTTTTTTGTACACACTTATGACAAGTCGAAAGAAAATGTAAAAAAGTATTTTTGAAGTGTGTATATTTTACACTTCAAATATACACACTTCAAAAATACTTTTTTACATTTTCTTTCGAATTACAAAGGGGAAGCATTCAGGAACATTCTGGTACTTATGAGAATACTGCAATACATACAGTCCAGTGGTGTAATAACAAAATTGTGTCTTTACTGTCAGATTATTGTGGAACTCAACCAACAGCGAAAGTGGAAAGATTCTTTCGCACCGAAAGAACCAGGAAAGAAATTGATTGTCCAGATATTGTATAACAATATAACAGGCACATTGGCGGTGTGGATCTGCAAGATTCCTTATTGTGATTATATCTAATCAAAATCAACAGCAAAAAATGGCACCACCGTATTTTTTATCATATGCTGGATGTAGCAGTAGTCAATGCTTGGCTATTAGACAAGCGAATCAAAAAGCAAATTGGAAAAACTGAAGAGATTATAGTACTGCTGATTTTTAAAACAATTCTAGCCGAGCAACTAACAGTGGTGTTTTACAAAAAAGAAAATTAGGTCGGGCTTGAAGTTCCACACTCGAACTTCGATCCAAAAGAAGATGCATTAAACCTATACCCAATATATATGTTCAAACAAATCAGTTTTTACACTGGCCAAACTGGACTGTAACAGGGAAAGATGTAAAATGAAAAACTGTAAGAGAAAATCAAGGGTCCATTGCGAGAAATGTAAGGTGCATTTATGCTTTCATTCTAAAAGTAGTAACTGTTTTAAGAACTTTCACAATTTGGAATAGTTTAATGCTGACAAAACATTTTTTCTCAAAAACCGGATCATTAAAAAAATGTGTAAAAATGGTAAATCCTACATACATCGATTAGGAGTAATTTAATATATTTTATTTTGTCAAAAAATAAAATAAAATAAAATAAATTCATGTAATCAAGGGTTAAAGAAAATTAGAGAATATTTGTGTCCAGACTTATACGATGCCGTTATATAGTAGCACAGTACAACCGGTTGATGGGTTGATCACATGTCCAGGTTGTGAGGCCGCTTTCGTAGGAAAGTGTTTGTTATTCGGTTCCTTTGCGGTTTCTTGTTCAAAACTGCCCCTCTTAAAAAAATCTGAAGTGTGCAGGGAGAAATTTTTGGGGAGAAATTATTTAAACAATAATTTTTTTAAAACATTATAAAAACCAACTTTTTGCTTTAAAAATCATTTTTTTAGGTATTTTGTGGCATTTTAAAAGAAGTCTCTTATCATTTCTAAAGTTGACAGTTATTGAGTTATAAGTGATTTGAAATCGTTCAAATTTATGAAATCAAATAAAAAATTTTACGTATATGTATAAGGGCTTTGTAACAGAATAATTTATGTACAGATAAAAATTGGCTTTTTATATAACAGATCGCTAAAATATCTTACATTTTTTCCATAAACAATTTTTTAATAAATTAATTTATAATAAATAAATTTAATTAGTCACTTCTGCATATTGTTTATAGAATTCAAGTAATTATTTCATATTCCATTACATCCTAATAGGCCATAGATAAGTTGATATTGTATCAGTGCATAATAAAGAATTAATAAATGGGTTATTCCTAAAAATTGTTTCAAAAATTTGAATCTTGATGCGAGCCCTCTTAATTTAACTACTATATTATTTACTTGACTATAATATTGATAATTTTTCGACTGTTCTAACAACCATTCAAATTTCGCCATTTTGTGTCATGTGGAACAATTTCACCCAATCATGTCAACATTAGACTGATAATTGCATTCAGTGCAATTTTCAATCCCTATGACAACACGATCGAGTTTGACAACTTCATCCAAATAAATTTCAACATGTCACGTTTCGGCAATGAGAATGTTCAAAGTATAAATGCGCTAATCAAAGAAAAAATTCCCAGAAATACAACCTACAGTCCCAAATATATTTGGGGAATATTCATGGAATTTTGCTGCGGACGAGAATATGAGTTGAATGAACATAGAATAACATAGATAACAAATCACTCGAATAGATCAACTGCTGTTAGCGAATTAGCAAAAAGTGGTGTAGAAGAAAAACAATTGCTAAAAATTACTGGTCATGGCAATCAGAATTTTATAAAACCATACTTGAATTCAAATTTCGTCATTTTGTGTCATGTGGAATAATTTCACCCAATCATGTCAACATTAGACTGATAATTGCATTCAGTGCAATTTTCAATCCCTATGACAACACGATCGAGTTTGACAACTTCATCCAAATAAATTTCAACATGTCACGTTTCGGCAATGAGAATGTTCAAAGTATAAATGCGCTAATCAAAGAAAAAATACTTGAACCTCGATCAAGAACACCACAAGTTTATAAATATTATGCGTGGTAATAGATCTTCTATAGTAGAGAACAGCAACGAATCTAATGTTAACTTAAATTTTAATAATTGTACTTTCACTAACTGTACTTTTAATAAATAAATGTTTCGTTATGTTGAGGTATGATTTTTTTTTTTTCGTAAAATTATCTGCCGAATATCCCTCGGACATTGATGAATGCCTCATAATTTCATGACAAATTTCTCAAGCTCGTTGCTTGGTAACAGCACTCAGTCTTCGGCTTCGTGCTGTTACCAAGGAACGAACTTTCGATTGTCATGAAATTATCTCGTCTGTTATCAATGTCCTAGGGATATTACTACTGAAAATGTTTCATTGTCATCAATTATTATACCTATGTAGATATTCAATGTCGTCTGTATATGGAATTTCATTTTTTTCATCGACTTTAACACTAGAAAGACGGAAGTGGTCATTTTGACCAATTTGCTTTTTCAAAGTTTCTTTTCAATTAGGTGAAGGAGATTTTTGTAATTTTTTAACTTTTTCTAAACTAAACTGTTCTATACATTTTTAGTGTTTTATTTTAAATTTATTTAAAAATTCTTGTTTTACGAAATAATATCCCTAGGAGGACGACAAATGGTCATTTTGACCCGAATCGATTTATGTGGATTATTCCACAAATACTTTTACGGGGAATTTTGTAGAAGGACAAGTGGCAATTTTGATCCGAATCGATTTTTGTTGGTTATAAATTTCACTTTTACGTGAGAATTTCGTTGAATTGGCAATGATAACTCCGATAATAAAGCCTGTAATAATGAAGATCTTCAAAATCCTTCGACATCTATCACTCATGCAGAAACATCTGCTGATAGTATTGTGTGAGAAAAAGCAATCTGAATACTTCTCTTCGCGGTAAAGAAGATGCTCTTCGAGCTAAACGAAGT